AATTGCAGGATCAAGGCTTTGTCTACTAAAATAATATATGAGAGAGCTCACATAAGCTTCTAGACTTTCTCGGTAAGGAGCTGTTTGTGTTACTGTGTACACCATATTATTTCAATTTTAAACATCAAGAAGTCATCAAAAAAATCAGATTTTCTTATTTCAGCAAGTTATACCTAGGAGAAGATACTTTCTTTACAAGCTCTTTATCCCTTTCTCATTCTTTTCAAATTACACCCACTGAACACTTTGCTCTACTATCCAGTATATTTTTCAGGAACAAAATATTATGTTTACTTCACTGGAAATATTTATATGAACTCATTTGCCAAGTGCTTTTGTCTCCTTCCTGACTTATGATTGAGCTTTTTTTGAAATGAGGAAACAAATGAGATTTTCTATTTCCTCATCCTCATCTCTCAAGCCCATGTACCTGTGTGATTTATCATGGACTGAGAGGCAACACTGAAGACAAATACTAAATCTGACTCCATACCTAACTGTGAAAGAATCTTGTTGAAATATTAGGAGCAGATCTCTATATAAATGTTAGTTATTACATTGTTTCCCTGACTTTGAACCGGTATCAGATAAAATAACTGCCCTATGTAATTACATCTGGGAGTGGAGTTACATAATCAGGTTGGACTCTGTTACAATGAATCAACACACTTTTCTACCCTTAACATGCACACGTGTCTGCTTCACAGACACAACATGCTTTGGGTTGGGTAGGGACCAAAAAGACTCAGAGCAAAAAGAATCCAGCCTGTGGAATAGGCACTGCTATACCGTGAAACTTGCTTACTCACTGATAGCAGCGTGTGTGTACAGTGCTCTAGGGGATACTTAAAGAGTATTCATGTCACCACACAGGATTGAGCCCATAATGTTTGATTCACTGGAGACAGGGAGTTTACTCACTCCATAAGTAACTACTTCAAAGCTTCATTGGCACAATGAACTGAGTGTACAAAAGTAATCATATTTGCTTACAGAAGTTATTTATAAAAGCAGGTGAAAAACTCAATCTGGCTTTGCAGTGAAATTATCATTTTAAACCATAAACATTATAGGCCTGTGCCTAGGGACCCAGCTCCTGGTGACTACATCACAGAGTCTTCTTTATTAAAAAAGTAAGTTTCTAACCTCATGATTGTAAAGCAAAGCTTGAAAACATGAACTGGGCATAAATGATGTAGTGACACCTGCCTGAAGACTTGTCTTCACTGCACTGTTATCCACATTTGAGTTAACTTCTCTCAAATTAGCCTAGCTCAAAGAAGAGCAGTGTCACTGCAATACAAGGCTCAAGCTGCACAGAGTGACTATTAACAGCACAGAGTAGTTGAGTCCCCCCATATTACTAGCTCAAGCATCAGCAGCACTTCACTCCGTACCCTCTGATGGGCCACAAAGCACCTCTGAGATAGAAATTGTGTGTGTGCGCATAGGAGTCAGGTTAAGTACAACACTAACACTGCAGACCACCAGTGGAACAATAGCTCTGAGGGATGTAGAATACACACAGTATCTGTATGGGGGAATAATTGCAAGACCAACTACTGAGCTGATGTAGGGAGAAGGAGACTTGTAAAACTATCCCCCAAAAGGCATTTAAACCTAGCAGGCAGAAAAGCAGTGCAGCCACATACAGCCCACCGACTCAAGCAGATACATGCTAACTGCAGGGGTAAGTACTTTGGGAGGGTAGGAGGGGGAAGAGAAGCTGCTGCTGCTCCCTCTGCACCAGACAGGGGACTCTTATACTGTTGTTCCTGTCTCTGAAAAAGTGGGGGGCCCTAACACTGAAGTAAGGGGATGGAATGGGACCCTTGTGGGAGTGTTCCTAGGGATCATGATTGCCTGAGGCTGGGCCTGCTTCTTTAGTGATCTAAAGCAGTGGTGAGCAAGGAATGGCGAACCACGGCCACTGGGAGCTGTGGGCAGCCGTGCAAATGTAAACAAATGGTCCGGCAGCCCACCAGCGGATTACCCTGACGAGCTGCGTGAGGCCTGTGGGCCACAGGTTGCCCACCACTGATCTAAAGCCTCATCTCCTAGTAAAGAACTACATTCACACCACAGTTATCATTTGACCCAGTTTCTAACCAGTGACTCCATCTGTATATTTACTAAAATAGTCACAGCATCTAGTAAAACCAAAGACACAAACTTTGAACAATTAAAGAAAAACGGCATCAGAACAAGAAGTTTGTTAATAAAACAGACAGTAGCAGGGGAAAGCCAAAGCAAGTAGAGAAGAATTAGATGTTATGTTTGTTTATTTATTGATTTGGGGAGGGGGAAGAGGGCAAATTTTTTGCGGGGGGGGGGAGGGAGAGAAAAGTAGTAGTCAAAATATACATATATAGAAGAGGACACTCTTAGGGACAAAGCCTCAAAACGATAAGCGTGAATGAAAGTGAAACAAGGAGTAACAAAATATGAATTACACAAGACTGTTGATTGTTAGACTACAAAAGGAACAGACTGAAGTTTTGCTTGCATCATCTTTTGGATCTTAGTTTCTTAGATTTTGTCTTACCTTACTTCTATTTATACACAATCTTCTTTTTCAGCAAAATTGTTGCTTTTGAAAGTGTATGATATGATAAACAGCATCATGATTGGAGACAAAATAAGTGCAAGTCCCAAGAGCTATGTCTCTGTTATATCCATTTGTATAGTGCCTAGCACAAAGGGGCCTGGATCCCTATTGACAGTAGGCAATATTGCAATATAAATAATTAATAAAAATAAACAGCAGTATTTAGAGAGAGCGAATGCTACTATAAGCAGGAAGTCCCAAAGTCTCCCTTATCCCTACAAGAAATTACTAATTCCTGGGGCTCATAGTAATACACCTATATTTTACAAAACTGGGCCCTCTGTGAAGATGTATCCAGGAAACATCTGTCAATCCAGAAATGCTGTCTACCCCCTTTCTCACACAAAACATCCTCATGACAGAGCTCTTTAGACTTCTAGTGCTTTAACAGACAACTGCTCTATGTTATATTTGGAAAATAATCTCAGTGTTAGCATCTTTTTCCACGTGCTATTTCATCTTTCCTTAGCCTCCTCAGGGGAGGTTTCAGACATGGGCTACCTGTGGAGTTGACAGCCTATTCAACATAGAAGTCACTTATCTTACACAACCTAAAATGAATAGAAATGTTCTTTTAAAAACAGTTAACTTAAAGGTTTGTCTTTTGTTGGTGTAAATTAATGTTTCAATCAAAAGTTCCTACTGCCCAAGAATCAGCAAGTAAAACAGATCAGATCAGTTTCAGTGTCCCAGATGAATAAAATATAAAGATCAATTTTGAAAAATCATCATAATAGTTAGATGTGTAAAAGCCTTACCATATCACCAACTCCGTTCCTGTTCTTTCCATTTTAATATCAGGGTGTTGTTAATAATATTGACAAGAATTCTCTTAAATATAATTTTTACCTAAAAGTATGATCCAGGACCCTAACCTGCAAAACACTTATGTAGATGTTTAACTTTACTCACTTGGGTCCTGATTTTGCAAAGAGAGTTACAATCATGCTTAAACTTTATGTACTGTAGTCCCACTGACTTAAATTTTGTGTTTCAATTGAAACATTCTCTTGCAGTGTTTATTTCAATGGACTGCACATAGTGCACAAATTTAAGCACGTTTTAGTCTTCACAGAATTAGGACTTTGAGTAGTCCCATCTATAAAACTGGTCATGTGAGTAAAATTGCATACCAGCTTAAGTATTTGCAGGATTGGGTTCTAAAACACGAATGCTTCAGGATCCAGCCTTCTAAGTCAACAGAAGTTTTGCAATTGATTAGTGGGAACAGGAATGGGCTATGACCTCACTATAAAATGGGGGATATCTCCACTGACTTCCATTTATACTGGTTTAAGTGAGATCAGGATAATCAGTTCCAGATAATTCAATGCAAACTGCGCAATACAAACATTTTCACCTAAACAGCTACTGGTTAGGAGCTACCTTCCTATGTGGCCTCTTAAATAGGTTTTTTCCTAGCCTTAATTTTAACGAGGACAATAATTAACCAGTATACATGTGCTTATTCTGGGAAATGTGAATAGTTCTTGACAGGGTGATCTTACTATAAATTGTAACACCTCAGAAATCCTGTATGTAACCCTTACCATCCCAACTATGTAGAGATGTGATAACTATAAAGGTGGGAGGTAGTAAAACAGAGGCTTGATTTTTCAAAGTGCTGAACCTCCCCCGCCCCTGCCAGGGCCTGCTCCAGGGTTTTGGCCACCCCAAGCAGCCAAAAAAATAAGCCGCGATCGCGATCTGCAGCGGCAATTCGGCGAGAGGTCCTTCGCTCCCAGCCAGAGTGAGGGACCTTCCCCTGAATTGCCACCGAATAGCTGGACGTGCCGCCCCAAGCACCTGCTTGACAAGCTGATGCCTGGAGCCGGCCCTGGCCCCTGCAAATGAAGTCAATGGGAGCGGAAGGTGCTCAGCACCTTTGAATACCAGGCCGGAGGTAGCCCCTGCCCCGGACAGCAGCAGATCACAGCCAAAGGATTAAAACAGGATTTTAATCTGAAATGCTACTTTGTGCCCCAAGACATTTTTGAAGCATCAGTATCCTGCTATCAAAGCTTTGCGAGTGCGTGCGTGGAGAAGTCCCCAGGATCGCTACTCTTCACCCCGCTCCCGGCCCGGAGCAGGGGAGCTGGAGCTGGAGCAGGGGTCGGGCGCTGCACCTATGGCAGTGTCGGCAGCAGCCTGGGGAAGACAGAGCGACACCTGCGGCTCCCTCCTGCCCCAGTGCGGCGAGGGGCCGAGCTGGGGGCCACCCCCCCCGCCAGGGAAAGGCTGGGCAGCCGGGGTTGTGCTGGGCAGCCCCCAGCGGGGCGGGGAGCTGGGCAGGTGCAGAAGGCGGCGGCCGTTGGGAGGTGACCTGACGGGACCCCAGGGGCGGTCGGTGCCCGGCGCGAGGGGGGCGGTTGGCAGCACCGGCGGCTCTCACCTCCGCTCCTGCTCCAGGCGGTGAAGCAGACAAAGGAGAAGGCGGCGCTGAGGCACAGAAATGTCACGATGCTACCGGGCTTGAGCCTCATCTCCCCGCATGCCCCAGCAGCAGCCTCTCCTCCGGCGGCGCCGCCAGCAACCCTGCGCCCGCGCTGGCCCCGCGACTCCCAGCGCGAACACCGACCGCCCTCAGCGGCGGCGGCTCTGCCTCCGCCTCCGGCAGCCGCCCGCGGTCACGCCCGCCCCGTCGGCGGCGCCCACCTGCCAGGACACGGCCCCCTCCGCCCTCTCGCGCGCTCCTGCTGGCGGCGTTGCTGCGGCAGCCGCCCCTCTCCAAGCTTCCTCCAGCCCCTCGCCTCTCCCGGGAGCGCCCCCAGCCGCGCCCTGTTCTGCTCCGAGGGACTGAGGGACCGGTGTGGGACGGAGCTCCGCCCCCGCCCCCCGCAGCTAGCAAGGCTGCAATACCGCCTCAGCCCTGCCCCATGGCCATGCACACACTAGCGTCCCGGGCCGCAGCCGTCCCTCCTCGTTCTCCCTGGCTTCACAGGGCCGTGCCGGGTCATCAGGCATACTGCCGCCCTGCCCGCTGTATTCCCCCAACCCAGGAGCGCAAGAGGACACGGAGCCCTTCAACGCTGTCCTGAACGAAGTGCACAGTCAGCCCGCGAGAGCAGAGTGGGCTCCCCTGCCCCTGGTTGCCTATTTACTGCAGTGGAGAGCTGTAGTCTTCCGTGTGAACCATTTCATCTGCACGGAGACCAATGGAACAATGTGAACCACCTGTTTCTGTTAAGTGAAAGTGGCCCTCCCCATGCCCCAGTCCACTTGCCAAGCACCTCTGACTTCCTTCCCAGCTTAAGAAACTTTCTAGCTCCCCACTCGTCACAAGCACCTGCCCCAATATCTATCCCACGAACTGCCTCCAAACCCAGCGCTCACTCAAGTGACTAAGCCCTAATCAAACTTGGCCCAACTATTAAGCCCTTTTAGTAACCCCAAAAGAGACAACTCCTACTGAATTCTAGGAAAGGGGTGGCTGCTAGCCTACCCTTGTCATAAAGCCCTCCCCCCAGCCTAAGGGGAGGAGCTACTAAAACTAGGGTTCAACTGATCACTTGGGACAACCAATGATTAAACAGGATGGGAGTGAGGGTCATAGGTACAAAATCAGGGATCCAGAGGGGGGTACTGAGCAGAGAACCCCAGGCAGCACCCACTGCTCCTCAAAAGTGTCTAGGGAGCCAGTGGACACCACCCAAAGGAACTCTGCCTGGATGCATGAAACATGGGAGGAACAGAAATAGGCCCCACAATTGTAGAGCAGCTCCCCGTCCAGCATCCTCCTCCTTGTATCATAGATGGCCACTTTAGCCAGCACAAGGAAGAGGTTGATGAGGTGGTCTCGTGACTTTGTGGGGCCATGGATATATGAAAAGGTGTGGGGAAAAAGTGCAGCCAGAATCTCAAAAGGAGGTTCCAGAGGAACTGGAAAATGGGCTGCAACCTGGCTTACTGCAGATAGATGTGTGCCAGGGTCTCCCTCACACCACAAAAGGGACAGGTGTCAAGGATGGGAGTGAACCGTGCCAGGTACACGACCGTGCTCACGGCTCCCAAAGGAGACAAGATAATATCTTTTATTGGACCAACTTCTGTTGGTGAGAGAGACAAGCTTTCAAGCCACACAGAGCTCTTCTTCAGGTAGCTGGAAAGTTTGTCTCTCTCACCAACAGAAGTTGGTCCAATAAAAGATATTA